ACTCCGGGAGCGGCCCCGCTGCCGGAGATTGCCGTGGACCCGCCGCGGACCACCACCCCCAGACCGACCCCCGGTCCCGCCGTGATCCCAGTGGACCCGCCGGTCCTGCCGCCCGCTGGTCCGACCCCGGGACCGGTGGCTCCCGTGCCCGTGTCCCCGCCGCTCCTGCCGCCGGGTGAGCCGCTGCAGCCGGCGCCGGCTCCGCTGCCCACGCCCGGTCCTCACCAGCCGATCCACCCTCCGGTCCTCCCACCGGCGCCGGCTCCGACCCCGGGTCCCGGCGAGGGAATCAGACCAGCTTCACTGCCGACTCCGGGACCTCACCAGCCGATCCACCCGCCCGTGCTGCCGCCGGCCCCTGGCCCCGGGGCCCAGATCCGGCCGACTCCAGGCCCCGGGGCTCAGATCCTGCCTGCTCCGGTCCCGGGCCCCGGAGTGGAGGTCCTGCCGACTCCCGGTCCAGGGGCACAGATACAGCCGCCGGTACAGCCGCCGCCAGTGCCGTTCCCGTCCCGTCCGACACCCACCATGATGATGTCGGCGATGACGCTGACCGTGCCGGCCGCCCTGTGGCCCACGGCTCCCGGAAAGCAGCTGGTGATCGTGGCCGGCCGGCGGCCCGTGGTCACCATCATCCCGGTGCCGCGGCCCGCTCTCGGCGGACTCACGGCCCTCAGCTCGCTCCCACCCGCGGTCATCTTCCCCTCGAGGGAGAGCGGCGGCGGCGGCGGAGCGCCCACGTCCGTCTCCGGGACTCCCACCGTGCCAGCGATGACGATAGAGGCGACGGGGAGCTTCACCACGCTCTCTGTGCTGACGTCACTGACGGCGTCAGTGTCTGTGACGCCGGTGACGTCCGCAGTGCCGGCGACGTCAGTGGTAACGCCGAGGCCGCCCCCGATGCCGGTGTTCCCGCCGGGCTTCGACCCCGACTTCCCGTTCATCCCGCCGGGCGAGTCGATTGAGATCGAGCCCACCGACACGGGTCCGTCGGGCGGCGAGACGACGGTGACCATCCCGGACATCGGCCAGCCGGTGTACCCCGACACGGAGGACCCTGACCTGTACCCGGACTACCTGCAGCCCGGCGTGGAGCCCGAGTACCCAGACGGGGGGTGGGAGGAGGTCTCTGTACCGACCTCGCCCGGCGGCACGCAGCCGCTGCCGCCCGGCCCGACCACTGACTTTGACTACCCGACCATCCCGGCCGGCGAGTCGATCGCCATCGAGCCGACCGACACCGAGTACGACGACGGGCCGCCGACGGTGGTGTGGGTGCCGGACGCGGCGCTGCCCGACCGGCCCGGCTCCTCGCCGCACCTGGAGCCGTCCGTGCAGCCGGCGGGGGCGGCCGGCGGGCCCAGCACCCCCATCGCGGACCCCGCCGGCGGCCGGCCCGGCCTGACCCCGGCCATACCCGCCGGGGCCGCGCTGGGCACCGCAGTGTCCTCGGTCCCAGCCGGAGCCACGGAGGGTGGATCGGCCTCGTCCATCCTCACTGGCGTCACATTGGAACCGTCCGTGTCGTCTATATTGACCGGAGCGACTCTCATTCCCTCTCTTACGTCCTTCACGATTGGAGGGACATTTAGGCCGTCCATTTACCCATTCATTACTGGGGCCACACTTCGGCCGTCAATATCTTTTATTACTGGAGCGACGCTGGAGCCCGTGATTACATCAATCCTAACTGGAGCTACTCTTTGGCCTTCAATATCGTTCATTACTGGGGCGACACTGAAACCGTCTCTAACTTCATTCATTACAGGAGCGACACTGAAACCGTCCGTTACTTCATTCCTTACTGGAGCAACGCTGAAGCCGTCTATATCGTTCATTACTGGAGCGACACTGAAACCATCCCTCACTTCATTCATTACAGGAGCGACACTGACACCATCTATATCATTTATTACTGGAGCGACACTGAAACCGTCCGCTACTTCATTCATTACTGGAGCGACACTGACACCGTCAGTTACTTCATTCGTTACTGGCGTGACGCTGAAACCGTCTTTATCGTTTATTACTGGAGCGACACTAAAACCGTCTTTAACGTTCATCACTGGAGCAACACTGAAACCGTCCGTTACTTCTTTTATAACCGGGGCGACACTGAAACCGTCCGTTACACCGTTTATTACTGGAGCGACACTGCAGCCATCCCTTACTTCGTTCATTACTGGAGCGACACTGAAACCGTCTATATCATTCATTACTGGGGCGACACTAAGACCTTCTGTTACATCATTCATTACTGGAGCGACACTGAAACCGTCCGTTACTTCATTTATTACTGGGGCGACACTGAAGCCATCCTTTACTTCGTTCATTACTGGAGCGACGCTGACACCGTCTATTTCATTCATTACTGGGGCGACACTAAGACCTTCTGTTACCTCATTCATTACTGGAGCGACACTGAAGCCGTCAGTTACTTCTTTCATTACTGGAGCGACACTGAAGCCGTCCGTTACTTCGTTCATTACCGGGGCGACACAGAAACCGTCCGTTACTTCATTCATTACCGGGGCGACACAGAAACCGTCCGTTACTTCATTCATTACCGGGGCTACCCTGAGTCCTTCGGTCACCTCAGTCCACCCCAGCGCCACCCTGACCGTTCCGTCCCCGGTGGTGACCCCGTCCCGGCCGGTGCGGCCGCAGGTCACCAGCTGGCTGACGTTTGAGACAGTCGTGGTGACGGGCCCCTACGGACCGGTCACGGCCATCCGACCGGGGTCGACCGCGGTCACCGTGCGCCCCTCGGCCAGCGCGGCGCCCGTGATGGTGACTTCCATCGTGTGGTCGCGTCCGTCGCCGGCCGGCTGGCCGCCGCGACCCCGGCCCGGCCCGCCGCAGGTCACCATCATCGCCGGCCCGACGCCGACCATGGCGGGCGTGCACCGGCCCGGCGCCACGCTCACTATCGAGTCGGCGGCGGCCGGCGGCATGGGCCCGGCGCCGGCCGTCCCCGAGCCCCGGCCCACGGCCACCCTGACTGTCACCGTCACCGCCCAGCGGCCGGCCCGACCCGGCACCGGCCGCCCGGGACACGGGGCCACCGGCGGCGTCTACCCCGGCCTCGGCGGCTCGCTCGGAGGCTATCCCGGGTCTGGAGGAACGGTCGGAGGATATCCAAATCCTGGAGGGTCAGTCGGAGGATACCCCAGTCCAGGAGCATCATTCGGTGGATACCCCAGTCCAGGTGGATCCGTCCAAGGATACCCTAGGCCTGGTGGATCCATCGGTGGGTACCCTAGTCCCGGAGGATCGTTTGGAGGATACCCCAGGCCCGGAGGATCGTTCGGAGGGTACCCGAGTCCCGGAGGATCCCCTGGAGGATACCCCAGGCCCGGAGGATCGTTTGGAGGATACCCCATGGCCGGTCCGGCAGTTTACCCAACTCCGCGGCCCCCGACAGGACTCCCGAAACCAGCTGAATCGAACGAGCTGACACCGGAGGACGGTTCTGATAGCCCAGAGCTAGGTGTACAACCAACAGATGGTGAAGAACCGATCCAGTCCCTTCAGAAAGAACCCGGCCACCCGGTTCAGACCAAGCCGACCGGCGATCTCCAGCCGATACCCGTCCTGGGGGAGACCGGGCACCCGGTGCAGAGTAAGCCCATCGGGGACGTCGAGCCGATCATCGTCCGTCCTCCCGAGACGGGCCATCCCGTCCAGTCCAAACCGATCGGCGATGTGCAGCCGGTACCTGTGCTGCCCGCCGAGCCCGACCGGCCGGTTCAGACCAAACCCATCGGAGAGATGAAACCGATCCCTGTGCTGCCCGCCGAGTCCGACCGGCCGGTCCAGACTAAACCGACTGGAGACGTGAAGCCGATCTCGGTGCTACCTGCGGAGCCGGGCTACCCGGTCCAGACCAAACCCACGGGAGACATTCAGCCGATCCCCGTCCTGCCGGCGGGGCAGGGTCCCCACCGGCCGACCGACGACCAGGGCCCTCCCCCCGACCGGCAGACGCCGAGCACCATGGCGCCGATGAAGCCGGACGGCCTGGCGCAGCCCATGCCGTCCCCGTCCTCCGACCTCGGCTCCAACGTCCTCACCAAGCCCGTCGGCCACGTGCAGCCCATCCCTGTCCTCGGGCCGGCGCCGCAGCCCTCCACCGCGCCTCCGGCGGCCAGTTCAAGCACCACGGCCCGTCCCTCGACCTCCCAACCGCCGCCGCCGACCACCACGGAGCGCCCGACCACAACGACCAGCCGGCGGCCGTCCGTGACGCCGGTCCCGGCCCGGCCCGGCGCCTTGGTGAGCGCGTGTGAGGCTACCGGCGCCTGGCGCTGGGTGCCCGGCATGAGCCAGTGGTGCACCTCCAACTGTCTGATGAAGAACCCGCCCTTCTGTCCGCCGTCCCACTGCCACTGCTGGTGAGCGGGTGGGGCGAGCGGGAGTCGCGGGAGGCGGCTGCACAGAGGTCAGCACCACAACTCTAGTAGTGGACTGGCATCTAATGACACCGTTAACCAGTATTGATGCGAGTGTAGCTGACGAGTAAATGTGAGCGGCGATTGATAGGGTCAGGAAACTTCCACGTCATTGAAGAATACGCTGGTGCTGTTAGTTATGAGAATGTTTTGTTGAGAGTGTCCGATTTGTGAATCGTAAGAGGGCGGTGCCGTGGCATTCTGTTATGGTGGGCATTACTCTCCGTTGAAAGTTTTTGTTAGGATTAGTGTTTTGTTGAGGTGAAACTTCGACTAGTATTTTCTGCAAATGTTTCCTTACCAGCAGCTCTCTAAGACTGTAACAATAGGCATTTGTAACAGTGGCATTTTGGTTGTTACGATTTTTTTTTTACGAACACAATGTAGATGCTTGTCGCCAGTCATAATACATATAACGTGATTTGCTTACGACAGTGTTTATCTGCCTGCCGACACCACACGATTAGTGCGAAGTCTACATCCCGGATGATTGTCCCCTCAGCGCGAACAATGCACGGCAACTACGGCGACGAACTCACAACACCACTGTGATTAGGCTTGCTTTATTGTGTATTGTTGGCATTTTAAAACGAACAAACAACGCAAAAGAGCCTGCATTTGGCAGAAGTTCGTCTCAATCGTGCGCAGGTAGCGACCCTCTTCGATAGGCATGATCAACAACTGTCGGCGCGGCTGCCGGTCCCGCGCCGCCGCACACAGCACCATAGATCGGCCGCCGCTACACCCAGAACTACAGACGGCGTCCGTTTGAACTGTGGCTGGCAGCTGGCGGCGGCCGGGCACCCACCCACCTCTACCGATCGTAAACATAAAATATAGAATTTGTATCCGCGGCCACGGCCCGGAGCCGCGCGGCACGGCGCGCCCACAATGCCCCGTGCGAGAGCCAGCGGCCGCTCGGCACCGTTTGATTAGCGGGTCACTGCCGCGGCGGCCAGCGGCCCGGCGCCGCCCGCCAGCCACTGTAAGTCTAAATCACCTTAAAGCGAATGCTACGCTACTGCAGGGGCGCCCGGCGGCAGCGCCGGGAGCGCACCCGCGGACATCACGACAAATCACCGGCAGGTAACACAGACACGAGCCACCGAGACGGCCGCAACGCAACGCCCAAAAGCCGGGGACTGGCAAAAATAACCGAGCATACCGTCGGCCGGACCAAGCACACGGAGGCTGGACAGGGCCGGGCAGCGGGCCGCCCGCCGCCCACACCAACACAAACAACGAGCGCCGGTCAGCCGCCAACCCATCACGGCCAGAGGTGGCGCACAATCAACATCGACGAGCGGACCGGGGCGGCGGCCGCGCCACCGCCCGGCCGGCCGTCCCGATCACGGCGCAGCGCGGCCGGGACGGACGGCCGCCCGCCGCCCATTGCACCCAGCGCCGACACGAGTTTGTACTGATCGCCGCTCCTCTCTCCATTCTCCGGCCGCTCTACCCCGTCAGCCCAGCGCGCGCGCGCGCGCGCGCGCGCGCCAATCTCAGAGATATATTGAAGTTTTCAGGTACTTTTCCTCTCACTGCCGTTCACATCTAGCTACGCACCCGCCTCGGTAAAATATATCTATTTCTCTGACATGATGCCACCCGCGGGCAGTTTTTACGCGTAAATCGTTCAGCACCATAGCAAATCACACACGACGAAACCACGACAAAAGCGACACCTCACGGCGCACAACATCAGCAAGCCTTCGCTCTCAGTCAGTCCCAGCTTAAACGGTAAAAACTAGCCTCTAGCCGAGCGAGACGTAGCGACTGGAGCCGGGGGACGGCAGAGCCCCGCCGGGCGGCCGCGCACACACGGTGTACGAGCTCCGCGCCCCGGGGTCGGGGTCGAGCCACCCCGTCCGTCCGTCTGCCCGCGGCAGGCCGGCGCCCGACCCAGAGACTGCCGGCGGGACGCACCCCTCCGACGGACATCACATGGCGCGGCGCGATGGAAACAGTGTCCGAACTCGGATGATGTGACGTGTATCAAATGTCTGATTAAAAGCGGAAAATACCCAACTATGTATCTGGGTATAAAGATAAACGAGACGTGGACGATATTAAAGAGTCATGCGCTTGAGGCAAAGCCGAGCATATGGAGCAGCGGACAGCTCAGCCGTATCAGACTGTGTGTAGAATATGTGTGTGTCGGTCCCGCACCCCTCCCCGCCGGCCCGCTCGGACTCCCCCCAGTCAGTCTGTCTGTCTGTGTGTCTGTGTGGGTGTGTGACTGCGCCCGCCTGAGGTACGTCACCGCGCCGCCTACTCGTTCTCCGGCACCTCCATCATCAGCCGCGAGAAGTCGTCGCACTCGCTGAGCGCCTGCAGCGTCTCGCCGAGGTCGGCGTCCACGCTGGGCGGCGGCGGCTCCTGCACGCCGCCGCCGCCGGCCATCGGGTCGCGGCCGGCGGCGCACGACACCGTCGGCCGCTGCAGCGACGTGTTGAGCTCGGCCAGCGTCATGTTGGACGAGCAGGAGGCCGGCGGCGGCGGACAGGAGGCGGGCGGCGCGCTGAAGCCACCGTCCATGGCGCCGCCGTACTCGAGCGCCAGCGGCGCCACCAGGCCGTGGCCCGAGTGGGCGCCGGCGATGGCGGCCGGCGGCGCGCGGAACACGTAGCCGCCGTCGGCGCCGGGTGCGCCGCCCACCGCCATCGAGGTGGGCGGCACGCTCTGCGACCGCTGCAGGCCCAGCTGGCCGCCGCCGCCGCCCGTGTCCATACCCTCGGTCAGACCGGACATCTCGAAGCCGAGCTGGTCGAAGCGCGTGTCGGCGGGCCGCGGCGGCGGCCGGTAGTGGACGGTGGCGCCGGCCGACTGGTGCCGCCGGCGCAGGTCGCTGTAGCCGGCGCGGCTGTCCACCAGCGCCGCGCTGGTCGGCGACACGGGCGCCGAGATGGGCGAGATGCCCGAGCCAGAGGACGAGTGGCGCGAGCGGACCGAGGGCGTGCCGTCCGGCGTCGGGAAGTTGGACGTCTGGATGCCCGACTCGTCGACGGACATGTGCGGCGAGCTGGGCGCCAGCGTCGACATGGGCGAGTACGGGTTGGGGTTCATGGGCGCGTAGAGTGGCTGCGGCTGGCGGCAGCCGACCGCCGACATGGGCGTGGCGCCCGACGAGTGCCGCGAGCGCGACTGCGGGAACCGGCACGTCTGCTGGCTCGAGTTGTGCCGCGACCGGGCGAACGGCACCGGGGTGGACTGCGGCGACAGGAACGGCGTGGAGTTCTCCGAGCCGATGGTGGCGCACCGCGAGAGCTCCGAGATGGCCGAGAAGGGCGTGATGGTGCCGGTGCCGGGGCCGCGCACCAGGTACGGCGCCGGCAGCTGGCCCGAGTTGTGCCGGGACCGCGACAGCGGGATCGGCGTGCTGTGCGGAGACACGAACGGCGACTCGGCGATGCCGAGGCCGGGCGGCGGCGGCGGCGGCGGCGGGTCGTGCCCGATCGGCTGGAAGTTGAAAAAGCGCCGCCGCGTGTTGGGACTGGGCGGCACCATGCCGGCCGGCGGTCCGGCCAGGCCGTCCGGCGCCGACAGACTCGGCTGGAAGCTGACCCGCCGCCGCATGGCCACGGAGTTGGCGGCGCCGTTTTGGCCCTGCGCGCCCGGGAACGGTCCGGCCGGCTTCTCCACCTTCTGAGTCTCCTTGCTGCCGGGCAGATTCTGCTCGAGCAGCATGCGCAGCTGCGACAGCTCCTCCTCCTGGTGGTGGTGGTCCTTGTTGTTGAAGTACTGCATCAGCTCCTCCTCGTTATCCTGCGCGGCCATGGCGTCGCCGTACTCGCGGTGGTGCGGCGGCTCGGCGCCTCCCGAGCACGACGAGCGCGCGTCGTACTCGCCCGACTCGTACTTCAGCTTGAACTTGGAGTGGGGCGGCGGCGGCGGTGGTGGCGGCGGCAGTGGCGGCGGCGGCGGCGGGGGCGGCGGCGGCGGCGGCTGGTAGCCGTTGTGCCGCGGCCCGGCCGGCTGCACGAAGGTGGTGTGCGCGCCCGGCTCGTGCGCAGCGCTGGTGATGACGGCGCAGTGCGAGTGGCCGCTGGCCGCCGAGCTCTGCACCGGGCCGCCGCCGCTCATGGCCGACATGTTGACGCAGGCGGCCTCGGAGAGCGGCGCGTACTCGGGCCGCTCCTGGTCCATGGCGTTGGGCGGCGGTCCGGCCGGCGCGCCGCCACCGCCGCCGCCGCCGAACGCGTCGGCGGGCGGCCGCGGCTCCAGCCAGCCGCCGCCGTAGTGGTCGCCGTAGCCGGGCGGCTCGCTGTAGCCGGCAGAGTCCATCGAAAGGTCCTCCGTGCCGTCCGGCTTGTCGTCACCCAGGCCCTTCTTGCGCTTCCGCCCGCGCGCGCCCACCTTATCACCCTTGCCGTCGGCGTCCTGTGGATAGAGGGGACAGAGGAGGGCTGTCAGACGGACGAGGGGCGGCACAGGGCGGCACCAGGTAGCTGGCGTAAGGACCACGGCTTCACAGACACAGCCAACGGGACAAGGCAGGGAGGGTCATCCAGTGCAGTGCACGCCAGTCAGGGAAACAACAGCAGCCGAGAGGTAGTGGTATGAGGAGCCGAGAAGTCCGCGGATCACCCAGTGGAAGATTTGCGCAGTGATATTTGGGCGTTGGTGCACCAAGACATGTGTTGTTTTAGCTGCCTCTATTACGACACAGCTGGAGTGGCCTGGCCAGAACGCATGTTATCTAACATGACATTTGTTTACGGCTGGTCTGTGTTTTCACTAGCACTCGGTGCTTCTAGAAGGGCGGTGCCGTTCGTCTAAGACGGGTAGCCAGGTCAATTATATCGCGTGCACCAGTGGTGGTTTGATCCGCCGAGTTAGGTCAGGTCACAACTGAGCCCTAATGCGCGGATGGAACAATGGCACTGCCCGGTGCGCGTGTAGCGGCGGCGGCCCACAGCGCGCGGGCGGCCGCGGCCAATGTCAGAGCCGGCCGCGCCGCCCCCGCTGCAGGCCGCCTGTTTATTTATTCACACATTCTCGGCTCGGGCCGCACACTGGACGTGCGCAGACTCGGCCGATGATGGTCGTGGGCGGACTGGGGAGGGAAGGCGGAGTCATGGCCGGCACAAATCACGGCTGATACAGTGTATTACCAGCCTGGCACAGAGGGACAGCAGCACAGACCAACAGCAGACTGACAGCGGCCACCGGAGCACAGAACGCCACACACAAACAGTCGGGCGATGCAGTCCAACGGAGCAGACAGGGGCGCACACTGGGATAGGCCAGACAGACTAGACATGGGACAGGCCGGACAGACCAGACATATAGCAGGCCGGACAGACCAGACATATAGCAGGCCGGACAGACCAGACATATAGCAAGCCGGACAGCAGACACACAGCAGGACAGACAGACCAGACACATTCCAACGACGCCGGTCAGACAGCAGAGCGAACAGAGCCCAGATCGGCTGTCTGTGCCGCCTCCGTCGGGTGAGCCTGGAGGCCCCGGCACCGAACACAGGAGCACAGCGGCAGGCGACCACGGCAGTCGCGGAACACACTGACACCGTACCCACCAACGACAGACACAAGTCACTACCAGATATATCAGTCCGGCGCCAAACCCGAGCCAAAGCAGCGCGCGACAACCCTGGACTCGCCCGTGACATTGCCAGTCGTGTATGGGGAGGGGAGGGTAGGGGCTGTGGCTCCAAACCGGACGGCGCGGCGGCCTCAACTCGTTACTGACGGAAAGATCAGCCGTTAAGCCGTACCCATAACGCTGATATATTACAGATTAAAGGCCAATGATCTACGCAGGAACATGACGCAGTTTCAGCGAAAACTAACGTTAAATTAGCCAGTTTTGATGATAAAATGCAGGTAGCGCTAAGGACCTTACGTAACTGTTGCAACTCGGTAACGGACAAGATGTAGGTGTTGAATAAAAAGCCAGCCAGATCGTACGCTGAAAGCGAAATAAAACTTCATCGCCGCCCACAAAGATCATCAAATAAGTCAAATCGAAGGACTCATCAAGGTGTAACATCATTCAGAGGGCTGTCTGTGTAGCCCTGATTTAAATCTTGTGAACGTGACGAAGGAGGATACAAAACTCAATATCCGCCGGAGAGTTTCGGTAACTAGTCAGGAAATTGGACTGACAACTCCAAATATGTTGGATCCTATCTGCGAACTTGCCTCCGGCCTTATATAACACGACTGACTGGCACCTGGGCCAATCACAATGAGGCAATCACCGGTGCCACTATACAGGGCCTCAGCTCAGCGGTAAAACTGCCGGCTTCACCAAACAAACCGCACACTGGGACAACTTCCTGCCGTATTTGAAGTTACCAAAACAATGACAATGCCAGTTGCATTCAATTTAACTTCAAACAGCGGAGTCTAGACAAAAGAGAACAAGTAAAGACTTCCTGTAAATAAAGTATGAAAAAGTATTGTGCATACCTGTATTTTCTTCTTCTGTTCTCGAAAAAGTTCCTTCTCCTGCAGTTTTCTTTGAAGCTGGAGCTGTGTCTCCCTATGCCTATTTACAGGCGGCAAACAGCCTGACGGCAAGTCTGGAACAAAACAACACAGTGTGTCACAAAACGCCGCCCAGCAGCTCGGGTCGGACAGCCCAGGTTACAGTGTGTCCAAGGTCCGCCTCGGCAGCCCAGGTCGGAGAGCCCGGGGCCGCTGGCAAGGTAGCCGGCGGCGATCGGAGCTAACCGGTTCGAGCCGTTTCGGCGGACATTTTGGTTCCTGACAAAGATGACCAGCGTTCATTGGTAATGGTCGGATAAGAGACTGAATATGGTCAGCAGAACATACCATAGGGTACAGATTGATGCCAACGACGCAATTAGGCATTTGAAACCAGACTACGTTCTATTCTAGAATAAAACTTAGAATAAAGAATATTCTAGAATAAAACTTAGCGTTCTTGGTCTGATCTGCAGCAGAGAATAAAGAGCTCATTTGAGCGCGGCTGACAGATGGTCCGTGTCGGGAAAGGAGAGCGGTCGGGTCGCCGGGGACGCTGCGGAGAACCTGCGGCCGCTGTCGGCTCACCACCGATGTGCGGCGATACGACATGATGCACGGCGCCGGGTCACCGCGGCCGGCCGGCCGACCAGCGTTAAAGGAAATAGTTCACTTTCACGAAATTATTTTTTTGCAATGGATTTGTGATTTTTTATGTTCAAAATGATCAGCAAAGAAAATAAAACCTTTTTACAACAAAAGATTATTTTCTATATTTTTGATATAGGAAGAACTTTTCAGTTTCTGTAAGGCACACGCGATCCAGTATGAAAAGAGCATGGGTCCCGAAAATTCTTAAACTAGAGAAATTATCGCTGCCACCGGCATTTGGGCGATCTGCTCGTGCTTTTGTTACTGGAGCGCCTCACTGGAGCGAATTTCTCTAGAGTTCTCGTAGATAATTTCTCTAGTTTCTGAAGAATTTTCGGGACCCATGCTCGTTTCATACTGGATGCGAATATATGCAAGGCACACATCCTCAACGCAAGACACATTTTTCGGGACGAAAAATAGAATATCTTTGCCTAGGGTGATCGTTGGGCTGTAAAAGCTCCTGATTTATGCTCGTCTCAGCCCAAGCTACGGAACTGCTATTCCAGTTCAAAACCCATGTTAAAATGTGAACTATTTCCTTTAATCCGGCCGGCCGGCCCGCAGTCCGCGCCACAAGGCCGCCGCCGCCCACCTTTGATCACGTTGGCTGCCGCGGCGGCCATGCCCAGTGGCGTCGGACCGCTCACGTAGTTCTTCTTGACCAGGTAGCTGCTGAGCTGAGAGAGCGTCTCGAACTTTTCACCGATCAGCTTCTCGGCCCACTGTCGGATGAGCACCGAGGAGGCGGCCAGCTCCCCGGAGCCGTCGCCGCCGCCGCCGCCGCCCTCGCCGCCCGCCTGCCGGCACAGGAGGAGCAGAGGTGTCAGACACGGGGAGCAATGGTCAGCGCGGGGATCAGTCAACGGCGTCCTATCCACATCTGCAATCAGAACACAGACTGGGGGGGGGGGGGGGGGTGGCGCCGACAGATGACAGACAGGTGCGGAGCACACCGAGACTAAGGACGCCGGCAGACGGCAGACAGACAGGAGCGGAGCCGAACATAAGACCCCATCCCTAATAACAATATCTCATATTACAGGTGTGAAACCATGTAGCGCCATCCATGAACCCAGGGATATGTTCGTTAACTGCCAACTTCTGACAAGTGACAACTCTTCCTCGAGGGATGCACCCACACAAATTAAGCACAACACTATCTTCTGCACAGCGTTCATAGATTACCGGGGCGGCGACACGTGACACCGTGAAGGGATCAGCTGCGGTGTCCGGAGGTCATTGGGTACATGCCACACGGTATCCGTGGCGAAGGTCCGTAGGGAGGGCGGTTACATCGTCCCGTCAGTAGGGGAGGTAGGCAGGCATCAGTGCGTCAGAAGGGAGTGGGTCAGTCTGGCGGGGCCCCTCCCACTCTTTTCAGTCGGGAGGGGCCACCTGACCGCCGCCCCGTGAGCCAGCAGGCCGCGGCCCCCGCCGCGCCGGGCCGGCTGGTGCGCCGTGGCTGCCGAGCTGCGGCTAAGCCGCGGCCTCCTCCTGTCGCGGTGGCCGATTGTAGGGTGACGGCGCAGTACCGAGCGGCCAGACGGGGTCGAGTCACACCGGCGCGGCGCGGCGCGGCGGCAGACCGGCTGGGCGGCGACTCCCTGCACTGGCACACTGCCAGCCAGCCGGCTGAGTTTCCCCATCGGCACACGGCTGTCCACTGTCCACACGGCCAACGGCTGTCCATTGTCCACATGGCGGACACTCCACTGTTCGCCCCACCTTCCACTGTCCACTAGGCCGGCGGTCCACTGCCCACACGGAGCCAGTTCCACGGTCCACCTGGGCCCAGCTCCACTATCCACACGGCGCCGAGTTTGCACATCCCATCGCTGAACTAACAGACCGCTCATAGGCGGCACCTGGGGCGCCAGCAGACGAGAAATGAGATGAAAGCCAGTCTCCCGAGAAGTGTAATACAGCTTGGATGTGTTTTGAAGCACGACTTTTCATCTCAGACTTTGGTTAAATTTCTTTTCAGATGATATGCGCCGGCAAATATTGCCTTCATTTTCTGCAACGTCTTTGCTGGTAGACTTATAGGACATCTTACAGAAAACACCACTGAATCGTTATCTCCCCCTCCCAGACAGTGATGATCTCCACAATCTCAGCAGCATTGTAGCCCCCCCCCCCCCTGCCACGTAGCCCGCCCCTGGTCACCACCACCCGGGAGGGTGTCGCCCCATGTCGGCCCAGCCGGCCGCTCGCCGCTCGCAACTCCGATGCGGCCGGCGTCATTCGACACTGGCCGGCCGGCCGTGCACTGTTTGGCCTTGGTCGGCGGGCAGCGGGCTGCGGAGTCGGTCCGAGTCCGACCGACGGCGGCCCGGCGCGGCCCGGCGCGGCCGCCCGAGTACCGACCGGGCCAGTCGCCTCCCGGACGGCGGGCGGGCCGCAGCTCCTGACCGAGCCAGTCTCCGGTCCCGGCCACAGCGCCGGGAGGCCGCCGAGCCATGGGGCTCCGTGTCCCCAGGACAGCGCCAGATTCCCGTGCTCCGGCGGCGGACCGCCTGCCATGGAGTCCCCTGTGCCTCAGTCGCCGCTCCGGGCAGTCCACACTAACACAAAGCCATGTTTCGATGTTCTACGATTTTGTTCTGGCTACCATTTCCGATCACATCCCTACTGTAGAACTGAAAACAAAGTGTCCGCCTTGGTTTGACAGGTCAGTAAGGGATCTCCTTCGTGAAAAGGAGCAAGCCTTTCGCCGTAAAAAAACAAATCCATCCTTGGAAAATGTTCATCGGTTTTCTGCCGCTAGGGCAGAGTTTAAATCGCTGGTAGCCGTGAAATACCGTCAGTATCTATTGAGTCTTGTTGATGACTTTAAAGACAATCCTAAACGTTACTGGTCGTTTGTCAAAGCAGTTAAGTCATCAGCACAAGTGTCTCCTGTCTTGGAATGTGACGGTCGTGTATATCGGGGAGATGGCGAGCGTGCGAACTGTTTGAACGCTTGTTTTGCCCGTAAGTTTTGCGACCCGGCGGTTGATGCACTGCCGGTGGCGCCGGTGCTCGGTGCCCCTGGAACAGACCGCTTCACTGTGCCGCGAGGCCGGGTCGCTCAGTTACTGCGGGAGCTGTCCCCGCACAAGGCCTGTGGCCCAGACGGCCTTAGCGCTCGCATTCTGCGTGAATGTGCTGATGAGGTAGCCGTCCCACTTGAAATCATTTGTGAGATGTCTGTTTCTTGTGGGTACTTCCCATCCTATTGGAGACAGGCTAATGTTGTTAGCATTCATAAGAAAGGTTCCAAGAAAATCCCTGACAATTACCGACCCGTTTCCTTGCTCTCAATTTGCTCAAAAGTCCTAGAGAAGGTAGTTTTGGAGAACCTCCTGCCGGTCTGTCTTCCTGCCATCCCCGCCAACCAGCATGGATTCCTGCCAGGCCGCTCATGTGTCACTAACCTGTCCTGCTTCCTTGATCACTGCTGGTCTTCCATTTCCAAAGGTAAACAGACAGACGCCATTTACACCGACTTTTCGTCCGCCTTCACGTCTGTAAACCATGTCCTACTTCTTCATAAACTCCGCTCATCCTTTCACATCACTGGCACTGCTCACTCCTGGCTTACATCCTATCTCAGCGATCGCATGCAGCGCGTTGTATTGAACGGCAAGCATTCGGCGTGGACTGCTGTGCAGTCAGGCGTGCCCGAAGGCAGCATTTTGGGACCTTTGTTGTTCGCGTGCTTTGTTGCTGACATCCCGAAGTGTATGGAGACTGGCTGCCTGTTATATGCAGATGATGTCAAGCTGTTTCACCGAGTGGGGTCCGATGATGATGTTGCTTTACTTCAGGCGGACTTAGACAAGCTTCACGACTGGTGTAAAACATGGAAACTAAAACTCAATCCGGTTAAATGTCAAACGATCACTTTCACCCTTAGGACAACTCCCATTCAGTCGACATACAGAGTTAATGGTCATGTGCTTAATCGTTGTCAGGAGGTGCGCGATTTAGGCATCCTTTTGGACGCTAGGCTTACGTTTTCGCAGCATGTTGATGCCACCATACGGAAATGTAACAAGATGTTAGGCCTAATAATGCGCAGTGTACAGTTGCCTCGATGTCCCCGGCGGGTCAAATTCAATCGAACTGCGCTGCTTGCCGCCTACAAAGCTCACGTCCGCTCAATTGCTGAGTACGGCAGCGTTGTCTGGAGCGGTGCAGCAAAGACCCATCTTGTGCGGCTCGAGCGAATGCAGCATCGTTTTTTGATGTGGCTGGCATCAAACTCCGACGGAGACGGCTCCAGTCTTGATTACGTGTGTCTCCTGAACCGCTTTGGTTTGTGCTCGATTAAGTCCCGCTTTGTACAGACCGATCTTTCATTTCTAATCAATGTGTATCGCAATAGGATTGACTGCCCTTACCTGATGGCAATCTTCGGACTAGCAGTCCCCAACAGACGCTCTCGACAGACAGGGCTGTTCCACGTACCTTTCGGTCGCGTGAACACTGTGAAGTCAGGGTTCACTGTCCGTATCCCTGTGCTATGTAACCGCTTCTTGCAACATACACCCACCGCTGACATGTTGGCATCATCGTGCTCCGTTTTATCGGACATCCGTGAGTTTGCTCGTTCTCAGGGAACGTACATGTAATGTGTTGTCATCGTTGTGTGCATGTGTTGTGTTGTGTTACCTAGTTTAAATTGACTGCCACTGTAAATGGGCTGCAAGGCCTGTAGTCGGTTAATGCAAATACAGAATACAGAATGTGGTGTGCCGCCTGCCGGCCGAGCCGGAGCCCCGCGGTACACCGTCCCCGGCTGCCGCCCGGCCCAGCCCGGCCTCAACAGGCCCGTGTGAACCCGCCACGCCCTCTCCCCAGCAGCCAGCCCCTCCGCCGCGCGGTCTGAGAAACCAGCACCTGAGAGGAACCAGTCTCTTCATCCAATGTCACCTATGACAAGCGTTTTTCACTTTGACAGCAGGGGAACAGCCATCGAAAAACATCCATTGGATTCAGGGAGTCGGATCAATTTTGTTACGTTAGGGCATAGACCACTTAATACCCTAAGGTATGCAGCAGTCTATGGTTAGGGTATCACATCCCGAAATATACGTGAACGGTTTTGAGCAATGACATGGCCAAATCAAGTTAGCCTGGAAACGATCTTGAAACTCGTCAAGAGTAAAAAGGGCGACACAAAAGAATGCTTGAACTAATATATACTAGGTTTGCTGTGGGGACAGGGTTATGTCAAGCACGCAGCCAGATGACTCAGGAAGTTTAGTGGTAGTAGCCAGGGCCGAGTCGTGGCAACTTTCCAGTTGAGGATTATCTGCGATTGAAAGTGGCACCAATAAGCTATTCCTTCAATTAATTTATGTGCCCGAAGCCCATGACGTCCCAGGCCCAGAGTCGGCGGGCACGGGCCCGGTTAAAACAGCGGCGGTAACGGACACGCCCGGTCAGTCGGTACGCCGAGCTCGCGCCGCGCGCGGACGGCGTGGGAAGTGGGCGGGGCGGGGCGGGGCGGGGCGGCACACCGGCGCGGCGAACGGCACACCGGCAGTGCCCGCGGCAGCGGCGTAACGCGGCCAGCGCGGGTGGCAACAGCGGCCGGCGTCCCAGCGTCTGCCCGACCCGCACGGAGTTACGACGCGCCGCGCACGGCCTGACCTGGCCCGCCGCCGAATAACGGGGCGACGCTCACACGTCGTCCTGGCGACCGAGGCGTTGCGAACACCAACTCACACACGTAGCAAGCGTCCGGCCAACCTAGTTGAGCGTGACAGTCGGTGACCTGGCCAGATCGTCACGGTCGGTCCCGAGCTCTATCGCTCGTCACATAGGTCCTTTCCGACCTACCCATGGCCCATCCGTGGTCATAGCATATGTGATCTGTATCAGCCGGGTGTCATATGTCACTGCAGTCTATCACCACACGACGGCGTATCGTAACTCGATATGATATACTTTTCCCGCGATGGTTATCAACAAGTTATTCCCGCATATCGAGATGAAAGCACACGAGCCTGGTCATCCAAAAAATAAAAAAAAGTTGAGCACGTTTCTATTCATCCCGGCACGCTGCCTTCAGACTTGTTACGTTACAGAGACACAGTCACTCTGCTAATCCCAACACACAACACGAATCGACCGGAGCCGCCCTGTTCGGGGTCATCTCCGGGCCGTTCTACCCGAGTATCTCAGCAGACTCTCGACATTAGCAGGCGGGACATGGTCGGGCGGCGAATCGCCGGCCACGCCAATTTTAGCGCTCTGCGCCATAACCCATCGACCGGCCGGCCGCCGCGCCGGCGGAGGACCGCGGGCCACTGGCCGCCGGTGGGTGGACGGCCCTATCGACGCGCCGGCCGGCCGGGCCGCTCGGCTGGCGCCGGGCCGACACTGACCTAGCCTCCACGCCGCCGCCGCCGCCGCCTGCCGGACGGTAACAGGGCGGACGCCAATCGATGTCGGCCTACAATGGTGGGAGGCGAGGCGCGTCGTCACGCGCCCGGCCCGGCGGCCGTCACCGTGACGCTCGGCGCTCACGGCGGGGGCACACGGCCGGCGGACCGGCAGCCGGCGCTACCTAACCTACACTCCCCGGCCCTCGGCGGCCACCGGCAGCCAGCGCTACCGACCCAGCCCCCCCCCCCCCGGCCGATCAGTAACGGGG